TATATTCGCTACCAGAATAGGCCATAAATATTGCCCTCATCAGGCCTGGGTACCAAGAAAAAGGCAAGAATAAGAAAAAGTAGCAGCTTAAGGACAAAGCAGAAATAAGAGAATGATACGCAGTAAGAAAAGGACAGGCTACAAGAATGAATGTATTACATAATATTTAGCTCTATGTCACTGAGCTGCAGTATCTTAGTTTTTGTTTGAAGTTATGTAAGTAATAATTCTGGAGTGTTCACCGTTCATCAGAGCAAAAATTGAATTATTACTGATATAATATCATGGCTACATTAACCCCTCCATAGACGTATATTTTTTCACCAACTGTTTCATTTGTGTCTTTATTTTTTCTTTTGTCATTTTCCAATTCTGCTCTAAGGGAAATAATTGTTATTGTATATGTCTGTTTGATGAACATTGTTGCTAGTCGTAAAGTATCTTGGCTATATACATTAATGTATAAAAATACTTTGCTAGGAAGCGCAGATATATCCATTCTATCCATGACTGGAAGGCTAATAAAATCCAGTTTTCATGTCCGTGTTAATACGCTGTGCTGTGAAAAAGCATGTTATATGCAAAGGGATACATCCATAATTATAAGTCAAGGGGTAAATAAATATTATTCCCAACTGCACATATATCTAATTGAAGTTTTACACATATTTTGAGTGTTGATAATGTTATTTATAGTAGAGAAAGATATTATTTTGTAGTTTCAAAATATTGAATGATAATTTCAATGAAACAACATAAAATAATGGGCCGTAAAGTTACTCATAATTGACACTGTTAAATGTCGCAATTACTGGCACTCGATATATGGGCAAATCAGTAGCCTTATGATGTGAAGGGGACTTTTGTATGTTGCTATGATCTTGTGTCAAAATGATTGGATTTGCTTGAACCAGGAACACCTTTAGCCTAGTTGTACATTATGCTGAGGCATGAGCGAGCTTTCTATTTGGTTTATTAATGAATATATGATGATGTATACTGTATTGAATTAATTATAAGTGAGAGGCTAAAGAATCTTGTTTTCCTTGATAAGTATTTTTGAGTACACACACTCCCCAACTAACGAACAAGTTAGGTTCCAGAAGTCTGTTCGTAAGTAGAATTGTAAGTTGTGTTTAGTTAACAAATTTTACTGTACAGTACATACATATGTAGTACTGTACAGTACTAAGGCCAAAGACACATAACTACCACATAAAACATAAAGTATGCAGTATTAATGAATTTTGATACAGTAATGATAATGTAATAATGCAGTTTAGTAAAGTAAAACATACATTAATACATTGGTTGATAATGATAGGTTTTTGTTCGTATCTGTGAATGATCGTAACTCAGTTGTCCATTAGTAGAGGAGTGTCTGTATTCCTGTTTCGTTCTTCTCGCTTTCGCTGTATTAGTGTTATGTACAAATGTGGCTGCCATGGCTGGTTTGGTAGCGATCCCAACCTTGATTCATCAGGTGTTCGGCTCGAGACTATCCACGGTCTGTGGTTAGCAAGGACATTCACTCGGTAATGATCAGACAAGTCAAAGTCCTTCAAAACATGGCACCGTCCTAGCCTTGATAGAAAAGGGAATCTGTCAATTAAAGCCGATTACGGTGTTCTTCACGAAAAATGAGGAAAGTGTCAAGTATTCCTGCTTTTCTCATATCCTTTTATTCCTTTTAATATTTTTCATATTACGTAGATTTTTCGCCATGCTTGGCTGGCCTTTGGCTTGGATATGGTTAATATGTATTAGTCTTTTCTCTTATGATATATTTAGGGATTGTAGTCATTATCAGCCGTATTTAGAAAGTTCTTAAGGAACAAAAATTTCGGAGAAGGTAAAAATTAGTGACCTCCGGAACATTGAATAACCCTGTTAATTGTTAGTTTATGTTGGGTATTAACCTAACCTAACTTGATCTATCATTTTACGGGGTTATTTACTGTTCTAGAGGTCGCTAATCTTTGCCTAATCCGAAATTTGCAATGAAACTTAGAAATTCTAATATATAATTCATTTCCAGGTTTTAGTTTTGGAACAAGTACCAACCAAGCAAATAAACCTCTATTTGGCTTCGGAAGTGGAACATCGACAGCTACTACCTCGTCTGGAGGGTTCCTTTCTGCATTTGGGTAAAGAATAAAAACAGACTTAGAATGTTATTTTGAAATTGTTTCTCTCAGAGTACAGACGCTCCCCAACTTACGAACGAGTTAGGTTCCAGAAGTCCGTTCGTAAGTAGAATTGCTCGTGAGTTGTGTTTAGGTAAAAAAAGTAATGTACAGTACATACATAAGCAGTACTGTATAGTACTTAGGCTAAAGACATTTAAATGCCACATAAAATAAAAAGCATACAGTATTAATGAATGTTAATACAGTTATAATTATGTAATAATGCAGTACATTACATTAATATGTACATTAGTACATGGGTAGCTAATGGGTATGTTTTTGTTCGTATCTGTGAATGTTTGTAACTTGTTTGTTTGTAAGTAGGGGAGTGTCTGTATCTTGAAATATCTCAAATTGTGAAGACAAGTGCTCTAACTACAACATCATTCAAATGAGATTATCCCCAACACTATTTTCGTCTCAATGCTAGTGTGCCCCAGCCTCATTATTAAAAAAAGTACTCACCTTTGGTATTGTCATCGTATTAGAAAGACATCAGTTAGAATATCCCTCCAGCGTTGATCCTCTGACCAGTTCTTTGGATCTTGTTGTAAAGTGTTGCACAACTAATAAAACATGTTACACCTGAGAATATACCTTTCTGCTTTACGCAGAGAATATGCCTTCATTTCCCTATCGTGCATCTTTCTCTTATTTGTGCCCTGTCTTTATGCCTTTACTTTTTGTTTGTCTCAGTTTTTTCTAGGTGCCCGGGCTTATGAGGGCAATTTTCTTGGTTGTCCCTGTGTCTCACAAAAAAAAAGAAAAAAAAACGAAGGTGCAAAATCCATTTTAATTTGCAAGGGAAAGAGAGGAGAGTACTGTGTGTATGATGTCGTGTGCTAAGTTTTCTATTAATGTTCTTGGTATGTGTGGGTATATTATTTCCTGTTGATGACATTACCATCTGTTGGATGAAAGAAAAATGATTGCATATTTTCATTTATTAAATGACTTTTATGATTTGTAACAATTTTATTGAATCAATATGAGAATTAACACAGTATCAGAATATAAGGGCATTTATATATCTTCTTCTGGGTTTTTAGGAGATTCTTAAAGAATATCAGTTTGTTTCTTTATGGAATTACCAGCAGATATTCTTGATTGCTGAAAGTTTCATTGATCATCTGTGTCTGTATATTACAAATGAAAGTTACCTCACTTGCTTCAACTTGTAAAATATAGCATATAGCCTTTCCTATTTTATGTGGCTGCCATGGCCGAGTGGTAATGCTCATGACTGATTCGTCAGGTTGTGGGTTCGAGGCCCACTGCGGTCTGAGGTAGAAAGGGCGTTCGCTGAGGGTAACAGTCATAATTGCCAAACCCAAAGTCCTTCTCAAGAAGGCACTGTCCTAGCCCTTAAGAGAAAAGTGAATCTGTGATGTAAAGTGGATCACATCACTCTCTTATTTTATCTTTGGTGTTTGAGGAGGAAGAATTGTTTAAGTATATTTCCTCCATGTTATTAAAACTGGAATGAGATACAGTAGCATAGGACTGCCAGTTTCATCCTTCATGAATATAAATTTCCTGCCAAATATATTTAGACATATTAAGTCTATAAATAAATTATGAATGTTGAGTATTACAATGTGATAGTAATATTGTCACAGACCAATGTATTTAGTATTATGTAGCACCTCCTTCTGGTATGATAGAAGTTTATAATATTTCCAGGACAAAACCAGCCACAGGTTTTGGAGCCCCTACTTCAGGTTAGTATTGTCACCCTATCCCCTGCATCCTCCTCATGTCACAACACACTCCCTCATGTCCTTTCTCGCCACATTCATAGACCTCCTCTTTGTCCTAACTCTCCCCCTCCTGCCTGTCAACTCCATCCTCATCAGCCTTCTGACGTACTCCTCATCCCTCCTCAGCACATGCCCAAACCATCTTAGTCTCGCTTTTCTGGCCATGTTTTGAATTAGATAATTAGCAATAATATAAAACTGTGATTCTGAAATTCTGTTGCTTTATAGTTTTGCCATATTATGCAGGTTCGTTCGTAAGTAATAATATAATTAATAATATTTATTTTCTCAAAATACATTTAGATCCCAGTCAACAGTTCCAGGCTGCAGGACAGCCAGATCCCTCTCTGGCTTTACACCTGGCGATATTACAGCCTTCGTATTTCAACAACGAAAACGACGAGGTGCTTCGTAAATGGAATCAATTGCAGGCCTTCTGGGGTGCAGGCAAAGGTAGTGTGACTATAGAATTATTTTAATGGCCTTGCACAGAAAGTTCTTCAAGGGCAGAATAGATGTTAGCTTTGAGTGCGTATGGGGAAGAGTGAATATCACAGGCAAAAATTCTTGCACAGGATTTCTAGAAGCCTCAGTGCCTCCTTTTTTCCATTCATTTTTGGCCTACCTAAGAGCTATATAATAATATTTAAGAAAAAATGCATGATATAAATATTTGAGGTATTACTGAAAACCATGCATTCACATCTTTTATTATGACTAGATACTGTATTTGTGAACAGTATGTGGTGAATTGAAACAATTAAAATGTTTTGGTACTAAACATTAGTATTCCGCTATTATGATTAGATATTTGTTAACAGCATTTGGTGTAATGAGACAAATAAATTTCTTTGATGTAATATGTTTTGTCTTCAGGTTATTATGCTCCAAATATGCCTCCGGTTGAATTCACTCCCGAAAATCCTTATTGTCGATTCAAGACTGTTTGTTATGCCAAGATTCCGAGCTTCAAAAACGAGGATGGGATTGTTCAAGTGATCATGGGGAAGTCTGTATCAGATGTAGAGTAAGTATGATGCTGGAATGAAATATGCTCTCATATAATTATCTTTGTTTTTGGGGACCACGGCGGTTGAATGGTCAGGGTGCTCAACTCTGGAGTTAACAGACCCATGATTGAGCCCACCATTGGGTGCTAGGAAGACCATCCAGCCTTCATTCTCCAGCCACACTGTCTGTGTCCACCCTCATATTGAAAACTAATAGTGACACGTAAAACAAGGATTATTTTATTTTCCACATATTGTTATAGCCAGATGAAGTTATTAGGGTTGTCACAACTTGAACAAAAGGAACAGGAGAGCATGATTTATCATACACATCTGGTACTCACCTCCTAAGGTAGTGAGTTCTCTTTAATGAAAAGAAAAAGTTTTGGAGAGAGAAATTACTAGCTTCCCAAACCCCTATCCCATTAGATGACTTTTATGACACTGGAAATACGAATTTTTTCTTTCAATTATTTCCCCTTTAGTTGTTCTGTTATATGCTGGGACTTTGAAGGCAAATTTCTTCCCCTCATTACTAGGAATATCCTTTTTTGTTTTTTCCTCTAAAAGCTGATAATATAAGGTCTTTGATGCCAAATATTTTCACCTCATCAGTAGGGATATCCTTTATTGTTTTAGGTAAAAGGTATTGTGATTTGAAAATTTCCATTTCTTTAGTTAATAGTAACGTGGTTCAGATACTTTTAAAATTACAAACATTTATAGTAATTGATGTTTCTCTTATTGTTAGACCACACAAGAGTCAGATCATATCAACGCTGTCAACATCCATTTTTAACGGAGTAGAAGTCGTTGTGGAAGACTTGTATGCGAGCGAACTCCCTGACAAAACAAACCTGCGCATGTATGTTCAGCAAATTGTCGGCACAGGTAAGATGTTTTTTGTTCCGTTCGATATGTTGAGAGTGCAAGTAACCTAGTTTATGCAATGTATTTTTAAAGACGTACTTTTTCATTAAATTCAGTAATTACACTGCAGTAGGTATTATATTTCTTTTTTTATGTCAGCTGATATAGTGTTAATGCTCATCCAAATCTGCTTGAAATTTTATTTAACATGAATTAACTTATTTTAATAATGTACTGTATTGTTTCAACAAGCAATGTAACATCAATATTTCTATAGTTGTATCTTTGTCCCTTTAGAAAAGCAGCGAGCACCAGCAATTGAAGTGTGCCGTCATATGGGATCGCCATCTTATTCTCAGATTATTAAGGTATTTATTAGTTTCCATCCTCCTTAAGGGGGGTAAAAATGCCTCCTCTTTGTTCCCCTGCATGTTGTAATTGTGAGTCAAGGTATTTTGCTTTGACTCAGTCACCCCTCTTATAAGGGGGAATATGGCTCTTGTATTTAGATAGATTAAGGTTTATTAGTTTTTATCAAGTCAGGCTCTTCATGGTCGATATATTTCGTATGTTGTGTAATGTCATTGTTTCGACAATAATTATTTAATCCTATTTTAATGCTTCAAATTCTTAATTTACTTTATTTTTTTAGTTTGGAATATCATTTTGATACCTTACTTCCTGTGGGAAATTTAGATTAAATTTTATTTTTTTTATGGCTGATTGAACACTATTCATAACTGAGAATACAGCCTTTTTTGTTTGTACTGTATCATCAGTTCCAGGTGCTCTGAATATATTGATACCAATTCTTACTTTTTGTTACAGAATTTATGTATTTTGGATGTGATTCCATTACAAACGATGACAGAAGCTCAGAAAAAAGAATATTTAGACACGCCTCAACGAGGTTAGGATAAGCGTTGTATAAAATTGATTTGTGAAATTAATTTTCTAACTTATCTTATGGCTTTTGAATTTAGAATCACTAATATACTGTGAACAGAATTAGGTGTCATACATTCAATATAGCATACTTCAATAATTAATAAAATATGTAGTTGTATTACTTGTAGGTGAATGGTCAGATTGCTCGACATAGGAGTTCAAAGAACCTTGATCGAGACCACTGTAGGAAGCTAGGAAGGACATCCAGTCTTAATTCCCTAGCCACACACTGTCTGTGTCTACTTCCATAATGGGGACTAGTTACACTAATTTTTTTCTATGTTGTGGTAATAGTTTTTCCATTAATTACTTCAAGAGAATCACTCGTGTAAAAAATAAAATAACCAGATCAGTGGCCTTTTTTTTTTTTTTTTTTAAATGAAACCCCTTTCTCACTGATCAAGCAGGGTGGCCACAACTGTATCAAAAGAACTAAAGTAGCAGGGTTTCAACTTATCAGCCCCATCCTCTGCTTCTCTGCCATTTGTTTTGTGGCAAAGAAATGTGAAAATGCAGGTACAACTTGAATATGCAATATTTCTTTATATTACTGACCCAGATGTATACTTTTTCATTTTTCCATTGTTAGAAATGAAGTCAATTTGATAGCGTAAGAAGGATAGTTATTATTTTCTTGGTCTTTTTATTTAGGGTAATAATCTAATTTTGTTTTCAGGAATCGACCCAGCATTGTGGGAGCAAGGAAAAAGGGAAAATCCAGATCCGAAAACATTCTTGCCAGTTGTACGAATTGGCTTTCAAGAATTACAAAAGCAGTTCAAGTAAGTTGACAGCTGTTTGTATCCTGTAAGCTTTGACTATAAGGAGATCTTTGGATACTTAATATATGGAAACAGCATCAAAGAAGACTGTATTTACACAAGTCTCAACACACTATGCTTCAAAATATCCCTCACTCTTCAGGCGTAGTGTGGTGAGAATTGTGTAAATTTTGCAGATCTCTCTGATGCTGTTGCCATCCACTTTCATATTACCTGTGTGACTGAAAAGTATGTCCTTGTTGATGGGGACAAAGATTTCCACTCCTTCATTTCCTGTGTCTTTTATGAAGTGACTAAGAGGGATAGAAAAAGAATATGGTGCTACCAGTCTCATCCTGCAATTAAAACATTTTCCTTGCTACAATACAGTGAACAGATGAATAGGATATGTTGAAATCTTGCTACCTCATTTTTATTTATTTAGCTCTATTCACCTTTCTGGCTTATCAGAACATGGCATTACATTTTAGAATATTACATATCTCACTATATATACTGTACTCATATCTTAGAATTATATAATACTTTTCTATGTTAAGTACACTTGTCCAACCTAACAAGTATATTGTTTAGGTATCAAGAAGAATTTGCCAAAAATCTGCATGCTAACATGGACAGCATCTTGGAAGAGATCACACAGCTCAAGCACAAACAGACAATGGTGAAAGCTGCTATACAGAATGCTAAGTGGAAGCAAAGTAATCTGACTAGACGAATACTAAAGGTGAGTGTAGCTAGAAAATTTGAATTTTTTATCATTTAAATTTTTTCCTAAAATAGCTTTTATTTTAGAGAAATTTTAATATACTCTTAACCTTAGGTCTCCTGATGAACAAACAAATCTGGAGAGAGGCATACTTAAATGTGAACATCAAGAGCAAGGTTATTTGTAATACTATAGATTTGTTATAGG